AAAGCAAAACAAAGCCTTAAATATGTTGTTCAAAGAAGTTAGGAAATTACAGTTCTCTCTCTCAGATTAGGAGGTCCCCCAGAATCACGGCACATAAACATGGATGACAAATATAGAAAAACCAGAAAAGCACATTAACGGAATTTCTTCTGAGGTCTGGAGAAATCTTCCTAGCTAACAAGTACTTGGTTTTGTATATTTAAGAAAACCCACTGCACATATGGTACAGTTTCAGTTTCAGTTCTGACAGAATTGATCTTTCTAGAAGCAGCCAACTGTCCCTTAGACTCACCAAGTCATCATGGATTTAGATTTGTCAGACATACACAGCAGATGAGGAATAGTTGACATTATTAAGCAATTACTTGTTTAGATGACATAGTAATGGTGCAGGGCTGAAGTACATAAACAAGTAGAAAGACATCTTCCAATTAATAGGCTAGTTATTTGGTTAAAACAGAATACAACCACCTTGTTTTAACTTCCTCCTTCTAGACAGTACATTACTTGTCATTATTGATTCTTCCTGAAAGAATGATCTCAAGGTCTGAAAAAATATTTCTCAAGAATTATCATACTATTTAAACACTCAACTAAACCAGAAATCCTTTACAACAGAGGAGGTCAAATCTTATTAACCTGAAAGCCAGACACATATTTAACTCATTAGCTTGTATCAATAAGAAATTTTGTCTTTTCCCATCTCATAGCTGCAGCTGCTTTGCAATGACTCTAAAAGACCAAAAAGGATGCGGATAATTCATGCAGCTTTTATCACATTAGCTACGGTCTGCAGTTTTCCTAATCATTAGCTTTGAAGTATATTAAACAAAGCAGAACATGACCTTACAGTTGATACTTTAATCACACCACATAAGAATAATTCTTTATCATACATACTTTATCAAGGCCACCAAACGAGATGCTATTCACAACTACTCAAAACAGCCAGGCAGAACAGACCAGGACTGTTGCACAGCCAAGCAAAGCCGGGTGGGGACCACACTACCAGGAGGGTTTATGCTTTTCAATGTGGAGTGACAGACAACTGCCCAAATGTACCTCTGATTCTGGCTGGCATGAGAGGTCAAAAGTGGAATGTGTGTGGGTGTACAAGATTAATAGAAAAAAGAAATTGAAGCTTTTGGCTTGAAAATAATGCACTCTATCGTAGCTTTACTTATTATCAAAATGCACAATTACCTACATTTATATTTAGTACAATATGCAATTACCTTTTAGAAATAGAATTTGGAGAAGAGAAAGTGAAAAGAGATGGCACTGCGTTCTTGCAGTGAAGGCAGGAAATTGAAGGTATTTCACATAAGAATTAATCTTACTTGAATTCTCACAGTACTGTTGTTAGAGACCCTCTCCAACATAAACCCCCTTTCTGATGACTGTACTAAGGTATTTACACTATTAAAAAATTACATTACTAATGTGGTTGATGCAGTTTACTTACATGCCTGTCATTCTGTACTGCTTTAAGTACCAAGTGCAGAGGGAAAAGCAGTTGAAAACTTAACAGTTATTATTGAATTGTGGGATTCATCTTTTATGCTTAAGTGGCTATCTTCATTATCTCCAGCAAAGTCTTGGAGAGAAGCTTAAGGAAAATGTGTTGTTCTGTCAAGTCAATAGTTCAAGATTTAGAAAATATTTCCTTTTCTTCTTCAGGAACACGTTACATTGCTTTCCCTCACTCCCAAGTTTCACTAACCTTTTGTCATCCAGTTCACAAGACTAGCAGTGCTCAAAAGACATGAATTAAACCCAAGAATTTTAAAGATACTCCCATATTTAATTTAGGTTAGCTACTCTAGTCTGTCGTGTATTTGAAGAAAAGTACGAAGTTACCACTAGTCACAGTTCATTATATAGACAACTTTCCCTACCATCTGCCCACTATATTAACATATAATCAGAGATGCAGTACCGGAGATATACAAGTGTATATAAAATAAAGGAAACCAGATATTAATTCTCAAAGCCATGCTTACACAACAACTCTTAACATTATTGTTAACATAGGGCATAACTAAGATGAGGAGAGCCTAAAAACTGAGTATAGGACAGATAGGACAGACATACCGTATATTAATTCATATTCAGCCTGGGTTTTACAAAGACAGAACAACGTATTGCCTACATAGAACATGGATTGTTAGAAATTATTTTAAAAGGTGTTCAGCCACACCCAAAATGCATCTTCATAGACAATGAACAACCCAAAAACAAATTAATATTTTTTTCTTGAAATTTCAAGATATGTTAGTCGAAAAGGACTTCCGAGACCTAGGAATAGCTAGATCTTGATGTGAAGAATCCTACCAGCACTAACCCGTCTCCCACTGCTACATTTTGATACGTAAGATTAGAAGTTGAATTAAACTATGCATAAACATGACATTTACATCTACAGAATAAATTTCAAAGGAGTTACTACAACAACGCAGTGTTCTTAGAACTCTGCTACACTACGTATGAACGTATACACGTTCTTCCATCTGAGAGGGAGAAAAACAGGAGACCCAAGTCTTAAGCACGAACACAAAACACAGCGTGCCAGCATGCTCCCACAGGAAGAAAGTCACTTTGCAGCTCAATCCCAGGCCAGCATTAATCCCAGGCCATTTCTGGAATCAACTTGAGCCAGCAGCTAAAGCGTTCGGCAGGCCAACAGGCACACCGCATATTGTGTGGTTTCAACAATGAATAGGAAAGTAGATGAGTGACAACTTCGTGAATACTTTTCACATACATGTGGACAAATCATTTGCTGAAAATCGTAGATGCGGAGACAAAAGTCAAAGAAAATTTGCTAACCCAAACTCAATCTCAACTTGGACTTAAGGATGTGAACACATAGGATAGACAGTCTTAACAAAATAAATTTTGGAACTCATGTCTGCATTTAATAGCAAACTTGACATTGCCACAAGCCTTCACCTTTAATACAACCTCTTCAGTTGCCCTGTCTAATTCTGTAGACAACCTATACCTTCAAGAAAAAGACAACAACCATTCCGTCTCCTTCCCTTAGCAATTATTCCTCATCACACTCAACCAACCCACAATTCTGAAAAATACAATGGATTTAAAATAGGAAAGCATGAATATAATATAATCTAAGACCTCACTGTTAAAAAAAAAAAAAAAAAACCAAAAAAAAACCAAACCCACAACATAAAATCTAGAAAATTATCCCCAAATTGATGGAAAAGAATATAATCATTTACCTTTTGGGCACTTGTAGGACTGCAGCTTTGTAGCTTTACTTTACAATATACTAATTTCACTAAAAGGATAAAATATTATAGACATACATGACATTTTGGTAATCGTCTCTCACCTAAGCAAAATGGCATCATTTTCGATTAGACTAAAGTACTGATCACATCAAAAACGAGGACACAAGAAACGGGGAAATCAGAGATCATAGGTAATTAATAATGCACGATTCATGTAAATTATGCAAGTTTTAAGTAGCCCTTTAACACCCAGAGGTGTGGAGTATTTCATATACAAGGGATCACACATAGATCTGACTAAAACAAAACAAGGTGGTGTAAGGAGGAGAAAATTCAGTACACGTAATGAAGTATAAAAATCCAGGTGCTTTTGTTTCTTTTTTTTTTTTTTTCCCCACAGTGTTCTTGCTCACCTACACGAAGGTGATGGGGACTGATAACATACATGGATACATGCACAGGAGCTGTTCCCACACAGACACCAAAGTCTTCCCATCTGGCCGTCTCACCGCTGCAACGTTTGACAAGTTTAACGCTTTAGCTATTCATTCACATGTTCACATTGGAATTCATGTGTCCTAGGAGCATTAGGTAATACTGACAAGTATTTAAAAAAAAAAAAAAAAAAAAGTTTTTAATACTGACGCATCAGAAACGCAAATACAAATCCAAGACTGAATTAACGCTTTAACAATGGAGCTCGTTTTAAACACAACTTAAAACTTGAAACCTTAAAGATTGTCATAACACAGTTACCTACACAAATAATACACAAGCTGACTTCGTTTTTCTAACAGCCGAAGGTCTAAATACTCCGTATACAGCCTGCAGAGCACGGAACAAACTGACAGAACAAGCGTGCCGTTTTTTGAGCGCCCCTCAAAAAAGGGGCTTGAGGGACAAGCTCCGGCTGGGTAGCAACCAGAAAAACCACACAGACCCACACCACATCGCCTCCCTCGGCGCGGACGAGCTGGCTTTATTTTTTTTTTTTTTTTTTTGATACAAAAGAAGAACTACCGCTGCAACACTTTACCACAACGCAACTTGAAAACAAAGTGCCCGCGCCGAAGCGCGGCCGCCGGCGAGCGGGGCTGAGGGCGCCTCAGCTCCTCGGAGGCGGGAGCGGCTCCCTCCCCGCCGCGGCCGGCGGCACCGCACGCAGGTGCGGAGACAAAAGGCGACCAAGCACCTGAGAAGGCTCCGGGCTCCGTTTCTCCCCCTCCCTCCTCCATTTTAAGTTTCCCCCCTCCCCGCACCTCAGGCGGTAACGGAATGCCGCTGCGGCGCCTTCCCGCGCGGCGATCCCACCGACAGCCCCACGCTGGGGGGGGGGAGCAGGGGACACAAGCGCTCCTCCACATAGCCGCTACTACCAGCGGAGCGCCGCATACTAAAACGCGGCAACGGCAAGCTTCGCTCCCTCTAACGAAAATAAAACCACGAGCCGCCAAGGCGGCCGCACTCACCGGCCCGCCAACGCCGCCGAAGTGCTGCCGGTGCCGCCACACCCCCGCCGGCTCCGCGCACCACCGCGGGTGTGCTCCCCCCCAACCGCCAACGCCGGGGTAGTCTCACCGGCTCCGCCCCACCCCTCCAGAGGCTCCGCCCACCCCGCCGGTCCCGCGCTCCAATTGGACGCTCCCCCCGCCCAACACCACCCCCCGCCTCCTCCCCTCCTGGCTCCGCCCCCCGCCTCGCGGCATTGTGGGGTTTGTGGTCGCGGGGGGCGGACTACAAAGCCCAGCGGCCCCCGCGGTGGCCGGTTAGTTCCGGACAACGCCTGGTGTGTGGTAATTGCGACCGGTCCTTCCTCCTCGCAGGCGCTTCCGGCGGGGCGGCGAAGCCCACTCGAGATCTCCGTGGGCCGGGGGGAGGTGAGGTGCTTTTCCGTGCCTCGCTGTTTTCTTTCATTTCTACGCGTGTGCGCACGGAGGAGTGAGGGCGTTGCGTGGGGGGGGGGGGGGGGGGGGAGGTTCCGGTACTGTGTTTGCGCAGGGCCTGGCTCGCCCTTTGGGGCTGCGCCGCGTTAGGAGCGTGAAACTCTTTCCAGCATCGCGGCCTGGCGGAGCGGCGGCGGGCGGAGGGGGCCGCCGGCAGCTCCCGCCTCAGGTGAGCGCGGCCCTGGGCCTCGCTCTGGGAGGGGGAAGGCGGCGGGCGTCCCTTCCGCTCCCCGCCGGGCGTGTACCCCGCTTCCCCTTGCTTCGGGGTGAGGGCTTCTTCCATTCCTCGGCCTTGTGGGTGGTTTGGGGCTCCCCCGCTTTTTGGGAGGGGTGTGTGTGTGTGTGTGTGTGGCGATGGGGGTGTCTGGCTTGAGGCCTCCCGGCCTGGCCTGTCTCGGGGCGGGGGGGAGTGTAGGCCCGAATGTGTCTTATTTTTAGCTCGCCCCAACGTGGGAGCGGAGCGCTGTCCGGTGGCTGCTGGTTCCTCCTCGGGTCGGGGAGAAAAAAAAGCATCTCGGCTTCTTCCAGCAAACAGGGTGGCTCCGGGGCAGCCGCGGCGGAGAGTGAAAACAGCAGGCAGGGACAGCAGGTAGCTGGGGCTGTGCCCCTCTGACTGAGCAGCCTGGGGAGGCGTTCAGTTCTCAGGTGTCCCATTAAGTTGCTCACTTAACTGGTGAGTTTGGTTCCTGTAGCTTACACGTACTGGGACACAGGTAGATGGCTGAAACTGTGGGCCAGGTTTGTGCTGTTCCTCTTATCAGAGGGACTAATTGCTCTCTGGTATTTGTTTACTTGTTGGAATGTATTTGTGTGTTTGTGTCTTACCTGTTAGTGTTTGATAGAGCAAGAGCTTTACCTTCATGTTCCCTAAGAGGAAGAGAAGAAAAATAAACAGTGTTATGCTGTTGTGATTGTGTATATTAAGAACTGTGACCTGTTTCAGTTCTACTCTATAACAATTTTAATCTTCCAAACTAGTGATACTGGGGTGCGGTGCAGGAAAACATAGTTTCTCATGTGGTAGGCAGACACTAAAGGTGGGTGTATTGGGACAGACTAAATAATTGCCGTTTTGAAGATCAGCATAGCAAAAGAACATGAACTAATTGTAAGCCTGACTTCAGAGTAAGCTGGGATTTTGTTTTTTAAGTTGGTATGATTCTAAAAGTAGGCATCTTGGGTTTATGTCAAGTTTGTGTGATTTCCAAGTTGGTCATATGAGTTGTTCTCACAACAATAAAATGCATAAGCAGCTATGCTTTGTCACAGTGAACTCAACTGTAAGTGGCTATTATATGTGTATGGAGATGTTTGAAAACTGTATACCTTTATTCTAGCGAGAGGAACATAAAGATACTTTTAGAACTTTAATGCTGTTTTCTGGTGACATTCCTTTTATTAACTCTTCAGTGAAACTGCTGAGTGTAAGAGTGAGTAGAATATGAAATCTGTGTAACAAAGTACCTTTTTTAAGTTTCTTGTTGTCTTTACAGATTTTAAATTACAGGGATTATTACCGTAACAGTTGATCTGTATGCTATTAACAGTTGATTCAACTATACTCTCAGGAAGTCACCTCAGTTTTAAAACTAAGGAAAGCAGTTCTGAATCTGAAGCACAAAGCCTTTAAGCTTTGTACTGTATAATCTAAGTTTACAATGGGAAATAGTTGCAATCTTTAACTGAAATACAGTGCTGGCAGGTAAATTACCATCTGACAAGAAAAAGGAGCATGTTTTTTTTTATTTCCTCTAAGTGACCGTTAATAAGGGAAACTTAGTTACCAAGCTATATGCGAGGTATGCATAGAGTTAAAAGAGCGTACTCAGCAATTTTTTTCTTGTGTAAAATTTGCAGCTGTAATCAGTAAATTACCTAAACTCCCTTCTCCATGCACATTGGCCTTACAAATAGGAGTCAAGCTCTTTGCCTCTGAATTCAGGATAGAATTCATGCTGCTATTTCCCTTCCCCCACTCTTTCTTCTTGAACTTAAATTAGTTTTTCTGGTAACTCAGGGGTCTCAAATCAGGTTAAAAGTAAAACTTCTTCATGAATCCTCACTGTGAAATGTGGAGCAGAACTTCTTGGCAGTAAGGATAGCCTTTTCTAGCTGGAATAGAGCTGTAATTTTTGCCCGAAGCCAACCATTGATATAATAATTCATATAATCAGTAGATCACTGCCTCAGGCCTTGTTCCTCTTTAGTACTTTACTAAAAAAAGAGTATTCATGTCTAGTGCTTAGTTTTCCAGATGGAGCCTGGAGAAGGGAATAGAGACATCAGTGCATTGGTAAATATCCTGATGATATAATTGAAGATGGAAATCCTGCCAGTTGACACGTGATGTTTCTATTGTTTTAAAACTCTTTAAAAGTTGTAATCATGAAAATCCACTCTCTTCTCTTAAAATACTGTTTCAAAAGATAGTGCTAAAGAAACACCTTTCTTTCATGGATACCTTGCTTGCTTTCACACTGGCCAATAAGCAGATGTGTGTTTGGGGAAGGTTGCTGCACTCTAGTGATAGTGACAGTTTATTCTTATCAAGTAGCTCTGCAGTTCTGCTACTTGATTTCAGTGCGTGACCAAATGTCTGTCAGTAAATGGCACAGATCAGAGAAAGCAAATGATCACCTCCAATATTGATAACGGTAGTTGTACATTTTGGGAGATGTGCTGCCCTTTGCTATTTACGCTTTATGGTTCACGGGAAGTTTATCTTAGTGTAGTTACTCTTCTGATAAAGTTCAGTTGAATGATTTAAAGTGTCATTGGATGGGTATGGGGGATTAGGTCTATCAATCCTTCCAAATTTGTTCCTCATCTAAAATGTACCAGTTATTTCAGTATTTGCTGAATAGCTGGAATAATATTTTGGTACTGGAACTTAAAGGCTAGAATGTAAGATTTATACTGACAGTGAAAATATATACTCCATGTTAGTATATCTCTTGGAATACAGCTTGATGTGTTAGATGGTTTAAGACTGAGCATTCAGGATTGTATTAACTGGCATTTTAGCATAGTTTTCAAACTTAGATTCTCTTTAAATTCCGTATATAATTCTGTATATTCTCCCTAATGTTTGATTTCATCTGACCTAGCACAAAGCATGATTCTAATTGCACATACACAAATTTTAATCTGCGAGGTCACTAACAAGGAAGATGAGGCTTGCATTCAGATTAATATTTGGCAGTATCCTACTATATTGCTCTTGTCTTACCCCTCAGACCAATTAACAAGTTTGCCAGAAGAGTAACACCTTTTTTGCATCTTCAGCAATTTGCCAGGGTTTTCTGAACAGCGTGACTAAATTGTGCTGTTCTAATAGATCACCTTCTCATGGAATCTTACTCCATCTTTTTTTCAATACTGTAAGAAATCAATTGACAGATGAAACTAGGGTAAACTCATCTCCAATAAGAGTCTTTAGAGATTGTAGTGAACTGAAGTTAAGCATTTAGAAGACAGTGTTGTCATAAAGCTTGGCAGCTATGCAGAGGACTGCTTTTGATCACATACCAGAAGAAATACTGAAAGCCCCTAGTTGCTTCATGATAATGTGCATTAAACTTTGTCTCTAGTCAGGCCATTTTGAAGGCTAGTGGACTTTCTAATAATTGATCTAAATAATTTAACAGAAACTTAAGTTTTTGTGGGGACTTTGTCCAGAACCAGGATTGAGACCTTCTTCAAAGATATTTGTATGTGGTTTAGTGCAGCTATGACAAACTCTCTCTCTGCAATGCAAATAAACGTGAGGCTTTTTTTGTGAAGATTTCTATCCCTGCTATCTAGCACTAGCAAAGACTGCAGTGCATCGAAGTTACATCTGACAGATGTGAAGAAGCTGGTCCTCAGCTGCAAAGATGAATAGTGTGGCAATGTTAGCAGTCAGATACTTGTGTGACAGCATAACCCTCCATAGGATACCTTCTGGCAAATGGGAAGATTTCTGGCACAGTGAACAACCAGTGTGATACATTAAATATATTTTGTTGCCAACCTCGGGAAAGAAAGCATTTGATGTTCTTGTGTATTTCTTGTGTGCGTGTATATTTAAATTCACCTCTTCAGTTGCAACACTTGTATGCTTTGTGTTAAAATACAAAACTCTGGATTTATATTGTTTGAAGTGTGTCAGTATCTGGTAAAGAGATAATAGAAGGTGTAGAATTGTTTTTATATAGGGGGTTTAACTGTGCTGTGGATTAGTAGCAATACCTTATGGCTTCAGGAGAAAATGAGTTCTTTGTGGTAGTCCACAGTGTAATAGGTGTTCATCATCATAAAAATCCATCATTACAGTTAGTATTTCCTTTTCTTTGTGGATACTGCTAACCCATAAAAACAAATTAATTATATCTAACGGTTATTTTGCCCTTTTTTACCCTCCTTCCTATGGTCAAAAATCTTTTGGGTAGACGAGAACAATGTTCAATGAGCTGATTTAACTGTTTTAAAAACTTACTCTGAGAGTACAGTACTCTAGCTAAGAACTAGCACTAAATTAATCTGTGAATGCTGTCTTCAGTGGTGCTTGTTAGGATAGTATCTTGCATGAGTATTTTTCCTGAACTCTCAGAAACACTGAATTAAGCAGTTAAACAAACCACTCTCCATCCACTCTGCCCCTTACATGCCAGAGTCTTCAGTGCAAGGAATATGCATATATAATAAATGGGACAGCTTCTACTTGCAGTTGTGAGTGAAAACTTGTTCAGACAAGTATTTTCCCCCCATGCGAGTAGACCTGGCATGAATTTATGTAACTCAGAAACAATTTCTTGAAAGATATTCAACTTTTTGAAGACTGATGAATATTCACTTGTGTTCTTTCATGTTCTTGACAGCCGTAAAATATTTACGGGTAGCTGATAAGAACGTGAGAGTCCTGATTTTAGAAATTCCATCCATGTGGACATCTCAACTATACAGATCCCTTTTTAAAGTCTTGGTAACCCTGTTCTATGGCTATAGGAATCTGCTCATGTATATCATGTTGAAAGGCTGGAACAGTAAGGGAAACAAAGATCAGATTTTGCAATAAGTAATCTGTGTCAGAAGTATATAAAGAGCTGTTGCTTGTTGCTATAGTCATGTTTAATTTTTCTTCAAATCATGTTTTAACTATTGGCTGTTTCTGTAGTGTTACCAGTTCTTCACTTGTTTTCTCACTTTTGGATATATCCGTACTGCCTAATCACATGCTTAGATGAGACATGAATGATATTTGTACTCATCCAAGTTGTTCTCTGTGCTTATTGTAATCAATAACACATTTCATTTGTATAATTATAGCTAAACTACTACATACCTGCCCTAGGCAAAAAAGAATATCTGTTATGTTTAAACAGCCTGAAGATTTTTAGTCCACGCATAGCATAATGAAAAATATAGCTCAGAGAAATACCTTTGCATTTTTAACTTGTTCAAACTATTGGGAAGCCATTTTGATTACTGCAGTAGCTTCTGCTGTTTCTTAAAAAAATTATCTTTTTCACTTCTTAATAAAATAACAATAAAATCAGTACCCAAGCATACAAATACCTGATGTCTGAAGCTTGTTAGGAGAAAGAAAACTCCTCTAATGTTTTAAATACTCCAAGCAAATCATAGACTGGTTTGGGTTGGAAGGAACCTTAAAGCCCCCCCAGTGCCACCCCCTGCCCCGGGCAGGGCCCCCTTCCCCCAGCCCAGGGGGCTCCCAGCCCCGTCCAACCTGGCCTTGAACCCTTCCAGGGAGGGGGCAGCCACAGCTGCTCTGGGCACCCTGGGCCAGCTCCTCACCCCCTGCACAGGGGAGAATTTCTGCCTTATACCTAATTTAAATCTACCTTTTCAGTGAAACCCATCACCCCTCATCCTATCCCCACCCCCTGATCCAGAGTCCCCCCCCCACCTCTCCTGTCCCCCCTTTAAGCCCTGGGAGGCTGCTCGAAGGGCTCCCCAGAGCCTTCTCTTCTCCAGGCTGAACCCCCCCAACTCTCTCAGCCCGGCCTCCCAGGGGAGCTGCTCCAGCCCCCCCAGCATCTTCGTGGCCTCCTCTGGCCCCGCTCGAGCAGCTCCGTGTCCTTCTGCTGTTGGGGGCCCAGAGTGGAGTAGAGGGGAGAATCCCTTCCCTCGACCTGCTGGCCACGCCTCTTGATGCTGCCCAGGATATAGTTGGCATCTAATGATGAAAGCTGTTAATATCTTTCTGTGTATCTTTATTCCTAACTTGGACTTTAGGTCTTTAAACTCAGTTGAAGAAGCTTATGAATAGAAAATATATCAGGCTGCAACAAGGAGTTCGTATAAACTGTAGGATGACCTTTTCCTTTTCCACCTAACTTCTGGGTCTGAGCAATGATTGCTTCATGTTGGATATGATTGGGCGGAGAACTTCCAAAACCTAGGTTCAGTTACTGGAACAATAATTTTCCATTGAGTTAATGTAGCTGTTGACACACCCTGAGTAAAAACACGGCTTATGACTTGCTTATATAAAAACAATGATGTAGTATTTGGAATAGGAATGGGTAGAAAGTAGGTGCTGATCTCCAGCAGAATAACAGTTTGATGCATGTGCAAAAATAAATAGTAATTATAGGTAGACTTAATGTTAATTGTCATAATGCATCTGTATGGGGTTTGGGTTAACAGCACATAATGCTTTTTAAGCTTTTTCTGTATGTGAGTTGTCAGGCATCTTAAGCTGTTCCTTATGAGTGGTAGCAAGATCAAATAAAATCACTTTAAGGAAAATTAATTCTCTAAAAATTTGGAATAAAACGTTTTGGTAGTACCCTACTCCAAAATATTTGTTCACTTAATAGATTTCAATTAGGGTTTTGAAGTTACATGCAGTAGTCATTTCATATTTATTCAACTCATGTCATAAGTAATTCCTAGTTTCTAGGCAGTAACAAACTAATGATGTTCTGTGCCATTTCATTTTTAGAACCTGTCAGTCATGAGCATTCCTAATTGTGTGTTTGTTTTTTTTTCTCGCACAACCTAAGGACAATATATTTTTTAAGTTCAAGTATTCTTGCACAACGAGGAAAAAGAAGAAACATTTCAGTGAATGAGGAGTTTTTTGCTTCTATAGTGTTTTCCTTGAGAAGTGGGTCTTTGAATGAGGATGACAATGGAAGAGATGAAGAATGAAGCAGAGACCACTTCTATGGTTTCCATGCCTCTCTATGCTGTTATGTACCCTGTCTTTAATGAGGTAAGCTCCATTGTGCTTTATCATATAACAATCCCCTTTACATTGGGAAATATAATCACAGTAGCAGGTTGCTCATCTTGATTGGGAAAGCTTTGTCTAACACTATTGTCTTTCTGTGCATTGTTTTACCCTTCTTTCCATTAATACAATTTAATGCTTATTAAAGACTGCTAGTTGTTTTGGCCCCAGTCTTTTTTGTCACCTTTTACAGAGGATTTTCACAAAAAGGTTAGGTCCAGCATTTTATGTCAGGAAGTAACGTACAGTTGAAGATGTACCTGTGAACAGCTTGATACACTTAATTTTACTGCTAATGGTTACAGTTTAATAGGATATTTGTTTCTCTGTGGGTATCAGAGGTATCAAGATGTTCTCAAAAGCTTCTGTCAGACTTCTGCTGTAGGCTGGATAAATGCAAAATGCATCCAGTGACATCCTCGATTTTTATGGTTTTGGCGGGTGGTGGTGGTGGTGGTGGTGAAGTCTTTCCTTTGAGATTAAACTTCGTAGTATCTCTCCCTCAAATTAGACCAGTAATTTGAATGCTTCTGTCAATTCCCTTTTTCATTATGCTATAGAATGCAAGGCATGAGTACCTGACTTGTTTTATTCTGATAACATTAGAATTGCTAATAATTCTAAATTTCTATTACAGCTAGAAAGAGTAAATCTATCTGCAGCTCAGACACTGAGAGCAGCTTTCATTAAGGTGAGAAGTAATTTGTGTTGAAGAGTGATTGTTTAAAAGGTAAACCATCTATGGTGAAGCTAGAAAGCCACCTGTCTTGTTTCTTTGTGTCTTTCTGTTTGAAGACTGCATCCTTGATCCAATAGTTTAAAAATAAAGTGGACAATTACATGGACTGTAAGCTTGAGATGTCTGCAAATGTTATGAGTAAAAATCTGAATGATACAAGAATATTGAACAATTTAAAACAGAATCTTGTCTAGTCCGTGTAATAAAAAAGCTTAAATGAGGAATCAGTCAGTGACGGTAATAAGATAATAAACTTAGTCTAAATATGACAAGATTATGTAGAATATGTGCTCATGAGAAATAGGCATGTAGCAGACTCTGAAAATGGTTTACAAAGTGAATGGTAATGGGATTTTTTTTGTGGATGAGGATAAGTTCAATGTTTGTATTTGCATCCAGCAGTAAATGGAAAAAAGATTCTTCTAAATTTTCTGTTGTATTCTGAAAGAATGAAAATAGAGATATTCCTTTGTACTGCTTTATTCAAGTGGTGATATTAGTTTTGTTTAAAGAATTTAAGAGTTGTAGACATGACGTATCTTAACACGTGAGCTACGGGACTAAGTAATATTTCCCTGTTTCTATATTTAAATCTAAGTGTACCTAGACAGTCTTAAGTCTCAACTAGAGTTCATACAAGCTAAATGTTTTTCCATCTGGAGGTGAGCTAAGCTGGACGCAAATGATGTGAAAACTGAGATACTGGTAGCAGTGGTAGTGCTAGCTAAAAAAACCTACACACCCTCACAGCAACACAGCATAATTTTTTGATAGCAGCACAGGTAGTGTGAATACCTCCGATGTTAGTCTAGCTTAGCTTTACTTAGATATGTCATCAATCAAAAGGGCTTTTTTTCTGAAAAAGCAATTCCAAGATGATGTTTGAGCATATGATGTGATTCATAAGAGGCACATTTATAAAATGTCATGTGGAAGCTGGGGGAGTAGCACCTGTGTTTGAGTGAATTAAATCCCAGTGGATACTATATCTTTGTCTCTAAGCTTAGTGTTTATGAAAATACAACAAAATACAGAATTTACAAAAAACTTCCTTATTCAAATTGAAATGAGTAGAAAAGCTTATTGGAAAAATTGTTTATACAAAATCACTGATGTACTCCAAGAAAAATGGATGTTGTAGCAGAAGAATGGTTTTCAGTGTAATCTGCTGGTGTAAAACCACTGGACTTCTGGCATTCCTAGCAATCTCCTGCAGTATATGAAGCAAGGTACATGAAAATCTGCCTATATGCTTGCAATGTTCAGGTCTTGCATATTTCAGAATAAAAATTTTCTTTGCTATACAGGCTGAAAAAGAAAATCCAGGTCTTACACAGGACATCATTATGAAAATTCTAGAGAAAAAAAGTGTGGATGTGAACTTTACAGAGTCTCTTCTGCGTATGGCAGCTGATGATGTAGAAGGTAGTATCTTATCTCTTATGTTGAATAAGTGTGTTTTTACTTACTCTGTTAACTAGGAACATGCATTTCTGTATATCTGTTTTCAGAACAGGTTATTTGCTTCTTACTAGATGTTTTTCATCATAGTAGGATATTTGTATTTTCTGAATATTTTTCTGACAAGTTAAAACTCCCTAAAAAACATACTTGACTAATGAGAGAAAGAAAGATGATGAATGAGAACGATGTTTATGTGGAGGCATAGTTCACCTTCTGCAATGCTAACAACCCGAAAAAAGCATATATAGAGTATATATACCTTCTTTTTCTCTGCTTCAAATTAAAAGCATTAGTTATACTGTCAGAGAAGAGGAGTATGCAGTAGGCTCTGTTGTTTTAATATTGCATTTGATTAGAGTAGTGTCTTCAGTGTCTCACTTTGAGACGGGCTCTTTTTCCAACTTGCAATAATAAAGATTATTGTTGCACTGTTTCTCTTGATGCAAAGTGTATTTACTGCAGTTTTCCAGTCATGGCTATTTTTGTGCTGTTCACCTTCAGACCTAACAAGGCAATTCTGCTGCAATTTTGTGAAGTAGTGTTTTTAGCTGTCACTAGAGACTTGAAGGAAAAACTAATAGTATTTTTTAAATATCCTCTTCTTGTTAGAGTATATGATTGAAAGACCAGAACCAGAATTCCAAGATCTTAATGAAAAGGCACGAGCACTTAAACAGATTCTTAGTAAGATTCCTGATGAGATCAATGACAGAGTGAGGTTTCTTCAGACAATCAAGTAAGTACTGTATTATGTGTTTTTCTACAGATTTAGGGGCCAAACATTTTATTTGGGTCTGAATGTTCAAATGCTGTAGGAGATGCTAGCAGAACTGTTCCCATTGGAGAAGGGCCCAATCCTCACTTATAAATGAGTGGACAGAGTTAAGGAACTTTAATGAGGTTTTTTTTTTTTTACTAGATCTAACTTCACTTGCTGATTCTTACTTTGAATTCCTGTGTCACTGGTGTAGCGCTTTGCATCTGGTCTTGTTACATCCCATCTGACACTTACTCTGTAGAGACTGTTTTAAGAAGTATTTGACAGCTAGAAAGGAATTACATTTCAACATTTAAATAGGGTAGCTTAAGGATATTAAAACTTATCTTTTTATTGCCAAATAGGGACATCGCGAGTGCAATAAAGGAACTTCTTGACACAGTAAATAATGTCTTCAAGAAATACCAATACCAGAACCGGCGGGTATGTGCAACAACTTTTTATACAATATTTTTAATAGTATGAGAGGAAGCATAGCCTTTTGACCAGAGGATGAATAGGAGAGCTTAACTGGTCAATGACATAACACTTTAACAACCAGATTGTATGGTAGGTCTCAGCAGTTTTATAAGAGGACAATTTCTCTGCAAGTCTTCTAAAAAAAAAAAAAAAAATAAAAATCGAAGTTTATACACCTAATGTAAGGTTAGCTAGTTTTCTTATCAGTTTAACCTCTAGATTCTCACTATACCAAACAATACGTGAACTAAGACTCTGCTCCTGATGTTTTTTGTTTCTTTAGGCACTTGAGCACCAAAAGAAAGAGTTTGTAAAATACTCCAAAAGCTTCAGTGATACTCTGAAAACCTATTTTAAAGATGGAAAGTAAGTATGTTTGTACAAAAATATTTTAAATAATGAAAGCCCTTGCTGACTAACAGGGGGGAAATAGGGCAAGCTTTGGGGCATAAGCTGCCACCTTATGGACTTGCCTAATTTTTTCCTCACCTGTGTCCTCAGATAATCATGGCTGCTTCAAAATACTTTTATTCCTTTTGTAATGTCTGAGGAAAGGGAAGTTTGTTAAATGCACCACCGTACAACACCCATGTGCAGTATTAGCTTTGAACTTGAATAGGTGAAGCCAAATTTCATGGCCCTCTGGTTTTTCTCAGTATGTATCCAAGGGAAAAAACCTCATGAATGCTTTATTGAAAAAAGTAATCTACCTTTTTCAAATACCACTTGCAAACACTAAACTTCTGTGCAGTGTTTTCTTAGATATATATTTTTATTGTCCTTTCTTTATAGCTCCTTATAGTACTTTGCAGTATTTGGAATTACTCAGCTGATCAATTGTTTTATATTTGAACATTTTTGCCTTCAAACAGATTTTTTTCAGGTCTTCACCTTGGGTTTTGAAGTCACTATTCTTGTCTATGTTACTGTAGTGACTGTTTTGGACAATGAGTGTATCCTCCTCAGATTTTGACTGTGCCAAAGTGTTATATGTACTACTGTTTTAAAGACGAGAATGAACTTTCATGTCTGGTCTTGTTGAGCTTGGCACAGACTAAGAGCACCCAGGGAATGGTGCATTACTAAAGGAGAGAGAAGTCCTGAGACCAGCTGTGCATGCTGCCTTGTTCCTATCAAAACATTCTTTTTCTCCTCTTACTGAAATTGGGGCTAAATTTGGTTATGATACCAAAAAGAAATTTAGACATATGTAGCTTTGATTACTGAACAGATGCATAGGAAAGTTTTCACATGAGCTAGATCTAAAGAGTCTCAGTTAATTAGAAAACTAGTTGACTGAAAAAATGGGGAAAGGGTTGGATGTGTTGTGCGTGTAACCCAGCCGTAGTGGAAGGGACCAGCTGTGTTTAGCCCTGTGCTGTGTATTGTGGGCATAAGCTTAAGAGTGTGTTAGGTATTATCAGTATTGCAAGAAATCCCAGGTCAGGCTTGTGTTTCATAGCCTTGTAGAATCAGAAGTAATTTAAATGTCTGTACTGCATGTTGAATAAGATATCCTGCTCTCACCAAAAGGTAACAGCACTAAACAAAATAGTTGTGGTCACAGATGTCACTACTGAGCTGAAAAACTCAGTGACTCCACACCTTTTTCTTAACAAAAAGATAACCAAAATAGTATGTGGCTTGGATATGCATGCATGCTTAGTATTTCCCGAGGAGGGAGTTGCACATTCTGAAATTACTAGGGAATTAAGTGTTCAGCTTTGAAAAGAATAGGTGTTTAATGGTCATCTGCTGCACTATTTTTCTTAGGTAACAAAAACCCCAGAACTAAATGATTGATATGTCAATGATGATTGAGAGCCAAAGTCTTTAAATTCCTGCCAATAAATACAGTCTTTCTAGGATTAGCTATGCAAAGAAGTGTATCTGTTTGCCAGCAGTAAGCTTCAAGTAGATCACAATACAGTAAAACATCAATATACTTCCAATTTGCAGAGCCTAGATGTCAATATATTTAGTTGCCCAAACTCAATGCTGTATTTATTGAATGACATGTTTCTAAAAATGTCTGAAGCAATATCTTTCTCTTTTAACAGGGCAATAAATGTGTTCATAAGTGCCAACCGACTAATTCATCAAACCAACTTGATACTCCAGACCTTCAAAACTGTGGCCTGAAAACTGTATATGTTGAGAGTTGTACTTTTCAATGGTGGATAGGGTACCTTTATATGTAAATTTTAAAGTTTTGACTGTATAAATTATCAGCCCCTCTTGAGGGGCCTAATGCAGGATTTTGAATGGGATTATTGCCATCTTACACCATATTTTTGTAAAACATTGTAGCTTAATCATAATCTCACAATGAAGATTTTGCATCACTTTTTGCTATTATCATTCTTTTCAGAATTATAAGCCAAAAGAATTTACGCCTTAATGTGTCATTATGTAACATTCCTTATAAGAATTGTAAATATTTGGTGTTCTGTTTCTGACATTTTAACTTGAAAGCGGAAAACTGCAAGATTATGTATTTAACAATATTGGTGGCAAATATTCAATAAATAGTTTACATCTGTTAGATTGTCTTTTTGTATATGAACAAAAATGCATAACTCATCTTTCTAGAACTGCAGAACATTCATTAAGTGGAAAAATTAAAATTATTTGGGTGCTTAAAGCTACTGGCAGTTCAAATCAGTATAAAATGAGGGGTTTTCCTTAAAACTGAGATTTTGGTTGTGATCTAGTACCAGACCAGAACAATTCCATTAAAATGTCTTTATAAAAATAATAAAGAGCCCCAGAAGTGAGGTGTGCTTTTGTTTTTGATAGACATTAAATCTCACTTCTTAATCTTCTGTTGGTGGTGAGTTAATGGGTTTTTTACTCCTAGAGCATTTCAAGGTTTTGAGCAGAGGATTACTTTAAATTTATGCATCTGAATAGGCAGCAAAGGGTGAATTTAGAATATATCAATGTAAGTGGGTTTTATATTGGTACCCTTTTGGGAGGAGGAGAGAAGGTAGAACTCTTCCAGGTCACGCTAGTGACGTCTATACTATGCATGCCATAGGGCACCTTGTTTTTTCAGGGACTGAAATCATGTGAGACCTTGACTGAGAAAACTTGTCTGTGTAGATGGTTAAGAACTGCTGACAGATTCAAATTGTATCATTGTGATTTCGTGGTAGTATTTCACAAGTTCTAATGGACATTTTGCATTCCCTGTTGAAGTGCACCTTGAGTTTAGTTTGAAATAGACTCTTAATAGGCTAAACTTCTGAAAGTTTTCAAAATACTTTATGTGGCCATAACTAGTAAGTTGAGGGAGGAATGTGAAGCAGTTTATAAAGCTGTTCAAGCTGTGGCAGGAGGATCACTTCAGGCTGAAAGAGCACAATTGCTACTGAACTATTCCTTGTTTAGGTATAAATGATGAAGAAAAGGTATACCCAGACTTTTCTTGCACACTGGCCTGGTGCTTTTTTGCTCATTTGGGGCAAGTGCCTTATCCAGAGTACATCAGTTGGGTCTTTCTGGTTATCTGCTTAAATAATCTAAGAGAGGAAAATGTGATCTGCAGCCCTCTGAAATAGCACTGAATGTTCTGCTGTGTATCTGTGCATGGAAATGTTTCCTTGATGAAAGCACTGACTGTAGTGAAATATAAAAATGTGAAGGAGAGTATTATGTAAAGAATAAGTTCTTGGGAATGTATGTTGTGAATTTCTTGGTTACACGAAGCTATAAACAGGACCTGGTCCTTAAAGCTTGCTGTTCAGGCTCTTTTCTGTTTTGACAGTGGTGTGTTGTGTTTACTAGCAAATTGAGCTTAGTAACATGATAAAGGGATGCATATGCAATTTATAGTTAAAACCTTTTGTTATTTTTTAAAGCATGGCATGCTAAACTGCTATTTCTTGGAAAGTGGTAGAAGAGAAGCAATGTTAGCAGCTACTAAGGAGGCAGTCTGACTGAATTAGAGTGATATTTAATTTGCATCTTTGAATTCTGTAAGTAAAAAGGTTGAGTAGTCTTCCTTGCAGATGATAACTTAAGTCATAACACCAAAGGGCTTAAGGAAAGCTAATTAGTCAGATAGAAGAAAGGGAAAAGTACCCAGAGCTTCTGATTCTTCTTTTGTCTTGAAAAGAGTGCTTGGTCCTGGGGAGGCTGCACCAGTGGCTGTCAGGAGAGATATGAAAGCTTGGGTTGTACTTTGTGAATTGGATTTAATTGCAATATTCTGAGATTTTTTTCTATTTTCTTGGATTGAGAGGGACAGTAGTTAGCGTTGGCACTCAATAGTAGAATGATACCATATTTCTGTCTGCAGGTGTAGTAAAAAAAATAATTTATGGCTTGGGTCCTAAATGAGGTGCTGTGTTATATCCTGCTAATTGATTCCTCGAAGTTAAAAATCAGAGGCTGTCAAGAAACAGACTCTTCCTGTTCATCAGTTCTTCCTAAAACCTTTATTGGGTAAAAGGGTACCAAGAATAGGACTAAAGTTCAAGTAGTCTGGCCAATACGTTTTGTTTTATTTGTAACCTTATTGTGATTTCTTTTTGTTACCCTTAAAAGTAATGGAAAATGATTCATTGTAATCAGTGTCTGGTAATGGGAAAACTTGAAAACTGGTGTCTTCAGGTCACACTCTTCTATTGTGTGCAGTGAATTCATATCTAGTGGTCTTACAAACTTTATTTTCCACTGAGTATTAGCTGGGGCATATGTCTGTCAAATTTTAATGTGGTTTTGCACTTTATTATTCTAGTTACCTGAGTAGCTAAAGATCAGTTTCTCTTAAGGGTTTCTAAGACAGCAGTTAGTGTTGCAAAATGCTATTAGAAAAATTCTGCTGTGAATGTGGGTTATAACTGATATGATAATGTTAACATACAGAAAACCAATCTAATAAAATAAAACTTTGTATATTTGTTAATTAAGCAAAGAAATGTCTTAATCACTTGTTTTCCTCTTTCTCAGCCTATAAAGAAATGAAGAAAAGCTTAGATTGACTGACTTCTCGTTAGAAGCTTTGTGTTTGAATACTGATAAAAAGTTTTGTTTAAAAGTCTGTAAGATATGCCAGGTGCCCAGCAAAATGTAAGCTTTAGCTTGGGTTGACATAAAGTGGTAAGTGTGAAATTTCATGGTGTTCTCATGTCAGAACTTCCATTTATCCAGACAGTAAGATGATAGTATCAGTCTTGATTAAGCGATATCTTTTTGTATTATCTTATCTAGATTACCACTGAGGTATTGCTGCTTCACGTTCATTTCGGATCTTTGTATGTCAAGGGAAGATGTACCTTGTTTATTCTGTAGGTGTTATCTGCTCTCTTTGATTTTACAAAGAGGCTGTTTGCTTCTCTGAATTGGGTGGGGAATGAAAAGGTTACCTAGACAAACTGGCCACATATCTAAGTTTTAGATTATTCCACTGTAAAAGGGAGATAAAATACATGTAACTTAATGTGTGTCATACTAATAATGATTTGCTACAGCAGTGATGATGGCTTACCTTTGGAGTAGGCACCAGCTGTTCTGCCTGAGAAGGCTGCTTTAATGTGCACGCCTGGCCCGTGCGCCCCCAGGGTGAACCAGTGCCCTCTGAGAAAGGTACTGCAGGCAGTTGCTGCTAGTGAGCTGTGGGAGCTCTTCTGCCTTTCCATAATGATTCAGTGTGTTTGCTCACTTCGTCATTTTTCACTCCACAGTTCTGGTTTTCCTCATACTCTTCTGGGCAAATGTTGCTTTCAGAAGAGATGAGTAGATGTGCTTCAGGAACAGAACCACTTCTTAGCAGCAAACTTAGTGCTCAAAACGAGGATTGACAAGATGCTCGTGGGTCGTCAGGTTTGGCTTCCTGTTGCAGAAGTTAAAAACTACCATATAATGTTGGTCATAAATCTGTCAGGTTCTGTTTTAAAGCCAGCTTCTTTGTCCTCATTCCTCTTGTTAGATGTCATCTTAAAACAGTCTGAAAGAAAAAAAAAAAAAAAAAAACAAACAAAAACCCAAAAAAAAACAAAACAAACCTTCAAATACTGAAGTTTAATATGCTGCATAAATTTAATTTATGATGAAGAATTCACTAACCTTGTCCACAACCAGCTGTTCTTTTTCCCCTCTTTACTTAATCTAAGAATGAATTGTACACCATCTTGGGCTTCACTGAAAGATACACAGTCCCAGGTATTTGATCTTCTCTAAAGAGAGTGGAGGCATTAAGCAATGCTAAAGTTGCTCCCTCGAGGCTGAGACAAAACAATTTGTCCCATGCTTGTAATGCAAGTTTGCATTTTGCAACAAAATTCATTGGTAAGGATGAGGAGTGCAGCTCGGCAACATTTGCAGTGCGAGGATTGTTTGTGCCTACACTGCATTCATCATAAAAAGCTCACACTGTGATAAGGAGACTTGGACACTATCAGAGTATATGATTATATGATAGAGGGTTTAATCTCTTCCCATTTTCTGGCACCTTGCAGTGCTGCTTATCACAGGTCAAAGTGTGTGAGGATCAGCAAGACTTTACCTGGCAGCATATGCAGTAAGAATTTGCAATTTAGGAGTCTACTGCTCCAGAAAATGTGCTGCTTTGGGTAAAGATTAATTTGGTCAGAAATTTTCTGTTAAAAGTGTCTCTGGTTAGACTTTGCTATTGCTATTCCTTCAGAATTTGTTTCTTCCTATTAAAGATTCATAAGGGCTTCCTTTTTTAAGCAATAACCAAAGATGGCAGTGGAGGGAAGTTCAGTTGTTTTTGTAGGGTCTGTCAGGGACTGTGACACTTGTAAACACCAAGAAGAAGGGAAGCAAAAGACTGAGCTGTCTGAATGCTAAACTCTTCTCACCCTAGACACAAAAGTGTTTTACTTACATTTCCTTCTTGAGTACATGTAGTGTTTTAGTGCTTCAATTCCATTATTGGTGCCAAGTTAGGCAAAATAGATTTTCAATTGCTGATTTCTAATGCACATTCAGATATGCTGTATAAATGTTTGTGAATTTGCATTCCGTATCAGAATCAAGGTGGTAATTATACTTGATGGATGTAATGATTTTAAAGTATTTTGTTGTATTTCACCAAGCTAAAAAGTTTAAAACACTATATCAAAATTAGACATCTTTGACATTTTATTACTTCTTAATTGTAACTACTAGACTTTTCACAGTAGGTAATTGCTTTTTTCCCCAAAGCTGCATTAGTCCCCAAGGACAAGTGATGGGTGAAATAGAAGCCTGAATGCCTGAAGTTTTAAAATAGAGAATCAAGTATGAGCTACAAGTATAATTCACTTAAACACCCTTTTTTGCTGCTGGGTATCAAATCTCCGATAGAGCCGCAGTGAAAAATGCTGTGGAAGAATTTGCAAGGAGACTGAGTTATAACCTTTAAGAAAATGCAGGACGCTTTCATGGTAAGTGAATTTTCTAATTAAAATGTTAATTGGAAGGATTTTGCCTTGCTTATTGAGGAAAAGGTGGTAACCATTTTTCACAGCTGTTTGCATAGCTATGTGGTATTAATAATTTTGTGTGGTTTTTTACATCTGCTTAATGAGTGAC